GGCTGAGGTCTTCCCCTCTGAGGGGGCAGTGGGCTAAGGTCTCCCCCTCTGAGGGGGCAGTGGGCTGAGGTCTCCCCCTCTGAGGGGGCAGTGGGCTGAGGTCTTCCCCTCTGAGGGGGCAGTGGGCTGAGGTCTCCCCCTCTGAGGGGGCAGTGGGCTGAGGTCTTCCCCTCTGAGGGGGCAGAGGGCTGAGGTCTCCCCCTCTGAGGGGGCAGTGGGCTCAGGTCTTCCCCTCTGAGGGGGCAGAGGGCTGAGGTCTCCCCCTCTGAGGGGGCAGTGGGCTGAGGTCTCCCCCTCTGAGGGGGCAGTGGGCTGAGGTCTTCCCCTCTGAGGGGGCAGAGGGCTGAGGTCTCCCCCTCTGAGGGGGCAGTGGGCTCAGGTCTTCCCCTCTGAGGGGGCAGAGGGCTGAGGTCTCCCCCTCTGAGGGGGCAGTGGGCTGAGGTCTCCCCCTCTGAGGGGGCAGTGGGCTGAGGTCTTCCCCTCTGAGGGGGCAGTGGGCTGAGGTCTTCCCCTCTGAGGGGGCAGTGGGCTGAGGTCTTCCCCTCTGAGGGGGCAGTGGGCTAAGGTCTCCCCCTCTGAGGGGGCAGTGGGCTGAGGTCTCCCCCTCTGAGGGGGCAGTGGGCTGAGGTCTTCCCCTCTGAGGGGGCAGTGGGCTGAGGTCTCCCCCTCTGAGGGGGCAGTGGGCTGAGGTCTTCCCCTCTGAGGGGGCAGAGGGCTGAGGTCTCCCCCTCTGAGGGGGCAGTGGGCTCAGGTCTTCCCCTCTGAGGGGGCAGAGGGCTGAGGTCTCCCCCTCTGAGGGGGCAGTGGGCTGAGGTCTCCCCCTCTGAGGGGGCAGTGGGCTGAGGTCTTCCCCTCTGAGGGGGCAGAGGGCTGAGGTCTCCCCCTCTGAGGGGGCAGTGGGCTCAGGTCTTCCCCTCTGAGGGGGCAGAGGGCTGAGGTCTCCCCCTCTGAGGGGGCAGTGGTCTGAGGCTGCAGACTCTGACCTCGTTGGAGGACGAAGGTTTGGGCTCAAAGAGAAAATAACTCTGAGGAGAATGTGGAGCATTTCTCTCTCTGGCTCCACAGCAGTGAAAAGGAGAATTAGCAGCTAGTCTCCTCCCTCGGCTTCCCTTTCTGCCTCCTCCTCTGCCTCCCCTCTGCCTCCCCTCTGCCTCCCCCTCTGCCTCCTCCTCTGCCTCCCCCTCTGCCTCCCCTCTGCCTCCTCCTCTTCCCCTACCTCCTCCTCTGCCTCCTCCTCTGCCTCCTCCTCTGCCTCCTCCTCTGCCTCCTCCTCTTCCCCCTCCTCTTCCCCTGCCTCCTCCTCTGCCTCCTCCTCTGCCTCCCCTCTGCCTCCCCTCTGCCTCCCCCTGCCTCCTCCTCTGCCTCCTCCTCTTCCCCTGCCTCCTCCTCTGCCTCTCCCCCTTTGACCCTTGACTCAGCCTCGTCGTCAGCTGTGCATGAATTCTAAAGTGAGACTAAGCACCGGCCAGAACCAGGAGGCTCTGCCCAGAACCAATAAACTCCGCCCAGAACCAGGAGGCTCTACAGCCTCAGTCCTGGGTCTACAGCCTCAGTCCTGGGTCTACAGCCTCAGTCCTGGTCTACAGCCTCAGTCCTGGGTCTACAGCCTCAGTCCTGGGTCTACAGCCTCAGTCCTGGGTCTACAGCCTCAGTCCTGGGTCTACAGCCTCAGTCCTGGGTCTGAGACGCTGAGCTGGACGTTTAGCCACACCCTCTCTTTGATCTGTCTGTGTTTGAAATCTTTTGTCCAATCTATAGGTTGTAGGTTATAACGCAAAAAATATAGTTTTAGAGATATAACCTTTTAAAGTCCAGATACTGTGAACACACTAATATGGAACCACACAACATGTGCATGTAGCACATAAGCACAGAGTCCCCCATTGTCAACCCTGGTTTGAGTTCTGGTGAAGTCTGGTGTAGCTCCTGTTTTGGATGTTTACAGTATGTTCAGTCTGCTCGATCAGTCCGCTAATGTCCCCGTGACCACTTTGCTGCTCTCTGATTGGTTGTCGCACGAACGTCCCAAGGAAGGCAAGGCAAGGCAAGGCAAGTTTATTTATATAGCACAATTCATACACAAGGCAATTCAAAGTGCTGAACAAAACAAGAAAGCATTAAAATCATAAATTATCACAGAACATTAAAAAGAAAGATAAAAATATAAAATCCCTCAGTTGTAGCACAGCTAAACAGAACTGTCTTTAACCTGGTTTTAAACATTGTCAGAGAGGAGGCCTGTCTCACATCTTCAGGAAGACTGTTCCAGATTTTAGCAGCATGAATCTGAAAAGCAGCCTCCCCATGTTTAGTTCTGACTCTGGACACTAACAGGAGTCCAGTCCCTGTGCTCCTCAGAGTCCGGGCTGGTTCATATGGGACTAACATGTCACTAATATATTTTGGTGCGAGGCCATGGAGAGATTTGTACACAAGCAGAGCTGTTTTAAAGTCTATTCTCTGAGCCACAGGAAGCCAGTGCAGAGACCTGAGGACCGGACTAATATGGTCGTACTTCCTGGTTCTAGTCAGGACTCGAGCTGCTGCATTTTGAATGTACTGCAGCTGTTTTACAGCCTGTTTGGACAGACCTGTGAGCAGGCCATTGCAGTAGTCTAACCTACTGGAGACAAATGCATGGATAAGAATCTCCAGGTCTGCTTTAGACACTATGTTTTTGATCCTGGCAATGTTTTTTAGATGGTAAAAAGCTGCTGATGTTACTGATTTGATGTGGCTATTAAAATTTAAGTCTGAGTCCAGTATTACCCCTAGATTTCTGACCTTGTTTGAAGGTTTTAGGGAGAGAGACTGTAGGTGACAGATGACGCTCTCTCTTTGTTTCTGGGGACCAAAGACAATCATTTCAGTTTTGTCTGCGTTTAGCTGAAGGAAGTTGTTTTGCATCCACTCACTGATCTGTTGGATACAATGAAGGAGTGAGTCCACTGGTCCATGTTCTCCTGCAGTCAGTGAGACATAGATCTGAGTGTCGTCTGCATAGTTATGATAGGAAACTTTGTTTCTGCGTATTAACTGACCTAACGGCAGCATGTAGAGATTGAACAGAAGAGGTCCCAGGATCGACCCCTGTGGGACTCCACAGGTCAGGGCCATATGATCTGAGACACAGTTTCCAATCTCCACAAAGTACTTCCTGTCTTCAAGGTAAGACCTAAACCAACTTAGGGCGGTGCCAGTGACGCCAACCCAGTCCTCTAGTCTCTGTAAGAGGATCTCATGGTCGACGGTGTCAAAGGCAGCACTTAGATCTAACAAGATTAAGATTGAGACTTTGCCTGCGTCAGTGTTCAGCCGGATCGTTTGTAACCTTAACGAGAGCAGTCTCAGTGCTGTGGTGGGGTCTAAAGCCGGACTGAAACATATCAAATGAGTTGTTGATTATAAGAAATCTAGTAAGCTGTAGGTAGACAACTTTCTCAAGGACTTTCCCCATAAATGGCAGATTTGAGATGGGACGATAGTTGTTAAGTACAGTGGCATCCAGACTGCTCTTTTTTAGCAGGGGCCTGATGACTGCAGTTTTCAGGGCCTTTGGGAATATTCCAGAATGAAGGGACATGTTTACTATCTGTGTGAGTGAAGGTAACAGACTGCTCAGAACAGACTTTAGAAATCTAGTGGGTAGTACATCCAGGCTGCATGTGGAGGAGCTCAAACTGGAGATTATCTCTTGGGACAGTTTTATCATTTACAGGTGCAAAGTGAGTTAGCTCAGAGAGCCTTTCTGGCTGTTGGATGGTTATCTGTGGATTGGAGACAATGGCGCTTTTGATGCCTTGAACCTTGTCATTGAAAAAATTAGCAAACTCATTGCATTTACGTTTGGAAGTTAGCTCTAATGGCATTTGAACAGGGGGGTTTGTTAATCTATTAACTGTTGAGAACAGAACACGCAGATTGTTGCTGCAGCCTTCAATCATTTCAGAAAAATACCTTTCTCTCGTACTACGTAGCACCCGGTTAAACTCGCACAACTTATCTTTGAAGATCTTGTAATCAACCTGGAGGTTGGACTTGCGCCACTTCCGCTCGGCCCTCCGGCACTTTCTCTTTTGTGCCCTGACCGAGTCTGCTTTAGCCCACGGCGCCTTCTGCTTATTTTTCACTATTTTAACTTTCACAGGGGCAACGGTATCCAGAACATTCAAAACACTAGAGGTGACAGAGTTAAACAGTTCATCTACAGTAGAATACGATGCATTCTCAAAGTTTATCATTTCCATAAATAGTTCACTCGTATTTTCATTTATGCGCCTTCTTCGAACAGTTGCAGAGTCCACTGGTGGTTTGTTAGTGAAACACATGTCAAAAAAAACACAGAAATGATCCGAAAGAGCAACATCGACCACGTTTACATTTGAAATAATCACCCCCTTTGTAACTAACAGATCTAGAGTGTGCCCTCTGCTGTGGGTGGGGCCACTTACGTGCTGAGTGAGATCAAAGGATTCAAGTACAGAACTCAGCTCATTTGCATTTCTGTCATCAACATTATCCACATGAATATTAAAATCACCTGTAATAACCAAACTATCAAAATCTGTGCATACAACTGAAAGCAACTCTGTAAAATTATCAATAAAACTGTGACATGACTGCGGTGGCTTGTATAGGACAACGAAGAGTATTGGAGGAGATTGTTTTTGTTGTATTTTAAAAGACACATATTCAAATGACGAAAACTTCCCAAGAGACATTCTATGGGAGACAAAGTGGTCTCTAAAAATGGCAGCTAAGTAAGTAAGTAAGTAAGTTTTTATTTATATACCGCCTTTTCACTGCAGATCTGAGTCTCAAAGCGGTTTACAATTGTTAATTATGGGCATTTGTCTCTCACTCCACACAGAGATGGGAGCGGGGTCGCCACTACAGGAGGCACATGCCAGAACTATTGGACATATTTTTAGAGGTAGGGGAAACCGGAGTACCCGGAGGAAACCTACGCAGACACGGGGAGAACATGCAAACTCCACTCAGAAAGGCCCTGGTCCGACCGGGATTCGAACCCAGGACCTTCTTGCTGAGAGGCGAGAGTGCTATCCACTCAGCCACCGTGCCGCTAAGCCTCCTCCTTTTCTGTTTTCCCGTATTTCAGATTCAAATTTGAAATTTGGTGGTGATGCTTCTATTAAAACTGCATTTTCTGAATTTTGGTCAAGCCAAGTTTCAGCCATGAACATAAGATCAAGATTATGAGAAGAAATAAAATTATTGATTAAAAAAGACTTGTTACAAAGAGATCTGACATTAAGCGTAGCAAGTTTCAAAGTTTCAGTATCAGCGGTTGCGGTCGGCTGATTCTTACACGGAACAAGAATTAGATTTTCCAGATTAGACTGATTAACTCCAGATGTCTTTCTGTAATGTATTCTTTGTGTTATCACTAAGGGAATGGCACAGGTGGCTTCATGACAGGGCCCCAGCCGGGTCTCTCCTCTAACTAGACTGCCAGTGGCTGCGAAGCAGAGACCCTGTGCATCCTAGTGTTTAGAGAAAAGAGGGGTAGGGGAAGGCGGGGGAGGAGGATGGAGAGGTGGGTGGCTTTTGGGTGTTGAACGAGGGGGGCAGGGAGGTGGATGGGTTTTTGGTGATGGGTTAGGGGAGGGGCAGGCTGAGTTGGGTGGTGGACGAGGGGGGAGTGGAGGTGGAGGGTTTCTTGGTGCTGAGTTAGGGGGGGGGAGGTGGGCTAAATGAGCAGGAGGGGGGGGTGGAATACTTATGGGGTTAGAGGAGGGACGGGTGGATTTTGTGGGAGAATTTGAGTTGGACGCCCTAGGTGGCTTTGGAGGTACGTATGGGGAGTAGTTTTGAATGTTAGATAGGACTCTTGATCTGGCTACAGTGGGTGTGAGAGGAATAGTCTTCATCGCCGATCTTATCATGCCTGCAGAGTGTTCCGGTAATTCCAGTAGTGAAGGCGGGGATAGAAAACACAGGGAAAGGTCGTCCTCATTTTCCCTAGATGGAGTGGATGTAGCGGGGGGGACCCAAGCCGGGTCCATGGAAGGTGATGAGGGAGTCTTTGGTGGAGACAGAGGTGGTTGAGGAACCCACCTCAACCTGATGAAGATGTGGCAGCTGCTGATGATGCTGGGGGTGGAGGCGTTGAGCTCTTTCGAAGCCGTGGAGGTGTTGAGTTCTTCTTGAATCGTGGAGGTGTGGACTTCTTTTGAGGCAGTGGGGGTGCAGAGACCTCGGGAGTCGGTGGAGATGGTCGTGATGTCTGTGCCCTTTGCTTCTTCTTTCTCCCTTTCGACGGCTGCACGCGCTGCGCAGGCTGAGGTCTTAGGGCAGATGCAAAGTTATCCATCAGCACTTTTACTCCGTAGTTGTTCAGATGTGGGCCTTTTTCTTCAAAAAGCTCGTGCCTATTCCAGAACAGATTAAAGTTTTCAATGAAGCCAAGTCCTCTGCGTGAACACTCATTGAGTAGGAATGTGTTTAGCTGATACAGACGGCTAAACTTCTCCATTTTTCCATCTATATTTGGCAGTGGGCCACTAAGAAAAATTGTTATGTCCATTTTCTTGAGGTCATCCAGGTAACAGCGTTAAATCCATTCGTAACTTCTCGCTTGCCTTCTCATAGATATCTACCGCCCCCGTGTGGATCAATAATGTACGCACACCACTGTTCTCAGATAACACTTTAGGCAGGAGAGTTCTTATCTCAGCAACTTTAGCAGAGTGAACTGAGACAGTGAGCATGGACTCCATGTTTACATTTTTCACCGAGCCATCTCCGATAAGGACACAGTTTGTCCTTGGTGGAGGCGCTGCAGTTTTTAGCAGCTTTGTTGTAGAGACTACTGCTGATTCATCTTCCAAAAGTGGTGAAAAGCGGTTTCTTGTAATTAAAGATTTTTGCTGTGGCATTATGACACTCTTGTTATCATTAGCTTTGCCTTGTTTGGGCTTGGCACCATATGTGTTCCAACAATTGTCTCTGTTGATTTTGGGAAATGAAATAGCGTCATCATAACTTACGTTCTGTCCATGTGGTCCATTTCCTTTCACTGGTATTGTTGTGTTCAGCCCCAATTCTGATTCAAGCACAAACATTCGGTCTTGAAGAAGTTTTAGCTCCTGTTTGAGTGAAAAAAGCCGTCGCAAAGTTTTGTTCTTTCCCGTCCTCCCGACATGCTGTAAGTTAGGTAAATTCCACAAGTCTTGTGTTGAAGTTTGTAAAAAGGAGTAATCCGTGTTTTGTGGAATAAAAATGTAAGCAAAAATGATTAAAGGAGATAAAAAAGCAGCAAGCGAGGAGCAGCAAGAGAATGCGACTGCTCTGTCCAGAAGCAGGAAGTGTAAGGAAAGGATGAGCAGAATCCTGTAGCGTCTCTACTGAACAGTCCGTGCGTCTCTACAGAGCAGTCCGTGCGTCTCTACTGAACAGTCCGTGCGTCTCTACTGAACAGTCCGAGCGTCTCTACTGAGCAGTCCGTGCGTCTCTACAGAGCAGTCCGTGCGTCTCTACTGAACAGTCCGTGCGTCTCTACTGAACAGTCCGAGCGTCTCTACTGAGCAGTCCGTGCGTCTCTACAGAGCAGTCTGTGCGTCTCTACAGAGCAGTCCGTGCGTCTCTACAGAGCAGTCCGAGCGTCTCTACTGAGCAGTCCGTGCGTCTCTACTGAACAGTCCGTGCGTCTCTACTGAACAGTCCGTGCGTCTCTACAGAGCAGTCCGTGCGTCTCTACTGAACAGTCCGTGCGTCTCTACAGAGCAGTCCGTGCGTCTCTACAGAGCAGTCCGTGCGTCTCTACTGAGCAGTCCGTGCGTCTCTACTGAACAGTCCGTGCGTCTCTACTGAACAGTCCGTGCGTCTCTACAGAGCAGTCCGTGCGTCTCTACTGAACAGTCCGTGCGTCTCTACAGAGCAGTCCGAGCGTCTCTACTGAGCAGTCCGTGCGTCTCTACTGAACAGTCCGTGCGTCTCTACTGAACAGTCAGTGCGTCTCTACAGAACAGTCCGTGCGTCTCTACAGAGCAGTCCGAGCGTCTCTACAGAACAGTCCGTGCGTCTCTACAGAGCAGTCCATGCGTCTCTACAGAGCAGTCTGTGCGTCTCTACAGAACAGTCCGTGCGTCTCTACAGAACAGTCCGTGCGTCTCTACAGAGCAGTCCGTGCGTCTCTACTGAACAGTCCGTGCGTCTCTACAGAGCAGTCCGTGCGTCTCTACAGAGCAGTCCGAGCGTCTCTACTGAACAGTCCGAGCGTCTCTACTGAGCAGTCCGTGCGTCTCTACTGAACAGTCCGTGCGTCTCTACAGAGCAGTCCGTGCGTCTCTACAGAGCAGTCTGTGCGTCTCTACTGAACAGTCCGTGCGTCTCTACAGAACAGTCTGTGCGTCTCTACAGAGCAGTCTGTGCGTCTCTACTGAACAGTCCGTGCGTCTCTACAGAACAGTCCGTGCGTCTCTACTGAACAGTCCGTGCGTCTCTACAGAACAGTCCGTGCGTCTCTACTGAACAGTCCGTGCGTCTCTACTGAACAGTCCGTGCGTCTCTACTGAACAGTCCGTGCGTCTCTACTGAGCAGTCCGAGCGTCTCTACAGAACAGTCCGAGCGTCTCTACTGAACAGTCCGTGCGTCTCTACAGAACAGTCCGTGCGTCTCTACTGAACAGTCCGTGCGTCTCTACAGAACAGTCCGTGCGTCTCTACTGAACAGTCCGTGCGTCTCTACAGAACAGTCCGAGCGTCTCTACAGAACAGTCCGAGCGTCTCTACTGAACAGTCCGTGCGTCTCTACAGAACAGTCCGTGCGTCTCTACAGAACAGTCCGTGCGTCTCTACAGAACAGTCCGTGCGTCTCTACAGAACAGTCCGTGCGTCTCTACAGAACAGTCCGTGCGTCTCTACAGAACAGTCCGTGCGTCTCTACAGAACAGTCCGTGCGTCTCTACAGAACAGTCCGTGCGTCTCTACAGAACAGTCCGTGCGTCTCTACAGAACAGTCCGAGCGTCTCTACTGAACAGTCCGTGCGTCTCTACAGAACAGTCCGTGCGTCTCTACAGAACAGTCCGTGCGTCTCTACAGAACAGTCCGTGCGTCTCTACAGAACAGTCCGTGCGTCTCTACAGAACAGTCCGTGCGTCTCTACAGAACAGTCCGTGCGTCTCTACAGAACAGTCCGTGCGTGCCGAGAGGTCCGTGCGTTGTGACGTTCGAACGCGAGTCACCATAGACTTTGCATTGAAAGCAGACGCAACGCATTATCCTGTCTGAAAGCACCATAAGGCCGATCTCTGTGGAGGTCAGAGAGTGTTAGCATCCCTGAACTAACTATGCTAACATCCATCCATCCATTTTCTTCCCCTTAATCCATTTCTGGGTCGGGGGGGGGGTGGCAGTCAGAGCTGCACCCAGTACACTCAGCACCAGCCCCTCACTGATCCTCCTGCAGGTGGTGAGTCCACAGGAGCCATGTCCATCATGGAGGCAGAGTTATTTGTATAGCACACAAAGCTAAAGTTAGAGATTTTTTACCTGATAGAGAGATACAGAGAGACAAATGTGAGAGACCAGAGAGAGCAGAGAGAGAGAGACCAGAGAGACACCAAAGAGAGACCAAAGAGACACCAGAGAGAGACCAAAGAGACACCAGAGAGAGACCAAAGAGACACCAGAGAGAGACCAGAGAGAGACCAGAGAGAGACCAGAGAGAGGAACCATAGAGACCAGAGAGACCAGAGAGACCAGAGAGAGGAACCAGAGAGAGAGAGACCAGAGAGAGAGAGACCAGAGAGAGAGACCAGAGAGAGGAACCAGAGAGACCAGCACAGGGGTGGTGTGCTCTCTCGGTCCATGTGAGTGCCCAGTAAAGCGTGCCTACAGTAATCACCATCTGCTATGGTAAGGACATTATCTATCAGTGATCATAAGAATGCTAGGTCACACTTCTCAATAATTAAAACCTAAATAAGGCCTAATAAGTGAATAATTCATAGTTATAAGCTCCTAATTGGACGTTGATATTCCTAAAAGATTCCCGACACGTAAACTTGTGCTAATCTGTGGATCCAGGTCTTTTCCCGCTAGTTTCCGGACGCCGCGGCCGCCTCCGTGTTTCTCCATCTCCCGCTCCAGTCTCTCGCGGCGTTCCCGGACCACGCCCCCCACTCCAGCCTCTCGCGGCGTTCCCGGACCACGCCCCCCGCTGTGGAGCCATTGTTCTAACGGTCTCCCTCCCTCACATTCCGGGCGGCAGCAGCTTCCACATCCCAGTGAATAAACAGTAAATCATCCAGTCCAGGAAAGGGGGGCGCCTCCTCCTCTTCTTTCAACACTTTATTTTCCCATGAATACTGCTGAATAATCTGGAATTTAAAGGCTGTGCAAACAAGACTTCACCTCTGAGCCTCTCCCTCTGACAGGACATCAGCAGCTTCAGGCCCAAACGGCTCTGATACGGCGTCAAAGAGCTCTGTGAATCTGACTGGGCTGGGGACTGGCACCAATGTCATGATGCTACAGTGATAGTGTGACACTTGACTGGGCTGGGGACTGGCACCAATGTCATGATGCTACAGTGATAGTGTGACATTTGACTGGGCTGGGGACTGGCACCAATGTCATGATGCTACAGTGATCTGTGACATTTGGGCCTCAGTCCAATATTATTGTGATTCTGAACATATCAGAGCAAACATGTGGTCCTTGAACTTCCTGGTCTGGTCTAAACTGGCCTGTTACAGACCAGAGTAAACTGGTCTGTTACAGACCAGTTTACTCTGGTCTGTAACAGGCCAGAGTAAACTGGTCTGTAACAGACCAGAGTAAACTGGTCTGTTACAGACCAGAGTAAACTGGTCTGTTACAGAGCAGAGTAAACTCAGAGAAAACAGACAGATTCTCTGCTGCTGGAGTCAAAAGGCAAAATGTTGTGACCCTGAACAGAACATGTTTCTCTGGAAACTGATCCAAAGGATTCTTTTTCAGCGCTGTTTCTGCAGAGACTGGTCTCTCTCTCTGGTCTCTCTCTGGTCTCTCTCTGGTCTCTCTCTGGTCTCTCTCTGGTCTCTCTCTGGTCTCTCTCTGGTCTCTCTCTGGTCTCTCTCTGGTCTCTCTCTCTCGTCTCTCTCTGGTCTCTCTCTCTGGTCTCTCTCTGGTCTCTCTCTGGTCTCTCTCTGGTCTCTCTCTAAGTGTTGATTCTCCAGCACAGATCAGAGAATCAGTCAGTTTTCTTTAGCTGGAAGTTTGCAACACCATCTAACTCTATGTTCAACCACGGCTCGTTTTACAACAGCAGTAAAACTACACTCAGCAGCGGTTTGGTTAAAGAGGTTCCACTGTGGGGAAATGTCAGTGTTGTCTCGGCAGTAACACAACAGTGGAATGAGGAGCACACAGCACGAGATACACAAACAAATAACTCTACGAAAATAAAATAACATCTGTAACTTTAGCATAATGAAGAAGCTAGTATAACATCTTTTATGCTGTCCATAGTAACAGTAGTATCAGTAGTAACAGTAGTAACAGTAGTATCAGTAGAAACAGTAGTATCAGTAGTAACAGTAGTATCAGTAGTAACAGTAGTATCAGTAGTATCAGTAGTATCAGTAGAAACAGTAGAAACAGTAGTATCAGTAGTAACAGTAGTATCAGTAGTATCAGTAGTATCAGTAGAAACAGTAGAAACAGTAGTATCAGTAGTAACAGTAGTATCAGTAGTATCAGTAGTAACAGTAGTATCAGTAGTATCAGTAGTAACACTAGAAACAGTAGTATCAGTAGTATCAGTAGTAACAGTAGTATCAGTAGTATCAGTAGTATCAGTAGAAACAGTAGAATCAGTACTAACAGTAGTAACAGTAGTATCAGTAGTATCAGTAGTAACAGTAGTATCAGTAGTATCAGTAGTAACAGTGGTATCAGTAGTATCAGTACAAACAGTAGTAACAGTAGTAACAGTAGTATCAGTAGTAACAGTAGAAACAGTAGTATCAGTAGTATCAGTAGTAACAGTAGTATCAGTAGAAACAGTAGTATCAGTAGTAACAGTAGTATCAGTAGTATCAGTAGTAAAAGTAGTAAAAGTAGTAGCAGTAGTATCAGTAGTAACAGTAGTAAAAGTAGTAACAGTAGTATCAGTAGTATCAGTAGTATCAGTAGTAACAGTAGTATCAGTAGTAACAGTAGTATCAGTAGAAACAGTAGTATCAGTAGTAACAGTAGTATCAGTAGTAACAGTAGTATCAGTAGTATCAGTAGTATCAGTAGAAACAGTAGAAACAGTAGTATCAGTAGTAACAGTAGTATCAGTAGTATCAGTAGTATCAGTAGAAACAGTAGAAACAGTAGTATCAGTAGTATCAGTAGTAACAGTAGTATCAGTAGTATCAGTAGTAACAGTAGTATCAGTAGTAACACTAGAAACAGTAGTATCAGTAGTATCAGTAGTAACAGTAGTATCAGTAGTATCAGTAGTATCAGTAGAAACAGTAGAATCAGTAGTATCAGTAGTAACAGTAGTATCAGTAGTATCAGTAGTAACAGTAGTATCAGTAGTATCAGTAGTAACAGTGGTATCAGTAGTATCAGTACAAACAGTAGTAACAGTAGTAACAGTAGTATCAGTAGTAACAGTAGAAACAGTAGTATCAGTAGTATCAGTAGTAACAGTAGTATCAGTAGAAACAGTAGTATCAGTAGTAACAGTAGTATCAGTAGTATCAGTAGTAAAAGTAGTAGCAGTAGTATCAGTAGTAACAGTAGTAAAAGTAGTATCAGTAGTATCAGTAGTATCAGTAGTAACAGTAGTATCAGTAGTATCAGTAGTAACAGTAGTATCAGTAGTAACAGTAGTATCAGTAGTAACAGTAGTAACAGTAGTAACAGTAGTATCAGTAGTAAGAGTAGTATCAGTAGAAAAAGTAGTATCAGTAGTAACAGTAGTAACAGTAGTAACAGTAGTATCAGTAGTAACAGTAGTATCAGTAGTATCAGTAGTATCAGTAGTATCAGTAGTAACAGTAGTATCAGTAGTATCAGTAGTAACAGTAGTATCAGTAGTAACAGTAGTATGAGTAGTAACAGTAGTATCAGTAGTATCAGTAGTATCAGTAGAAACAGTAGTATCAGTAGTAACAGTAGTAACAGTAGTATCAGTAGTATCAGTAGTAACAGTAGTATCAGTAGTAACAGTAGTAACAGTAGTAGCAGTAGTATCAGTAGTAACAGTAGTAACAGTAGAAACAGTAGTATCAGTAGTATCATTAGTATCAGTAGACACAGTAGTATCAGTAGTTAACAGTAGTAACAGTAGTATCAGTACTAACAGTAGTAACAGTAGTATCAGTAGTAACAGTAGTAACAGTAGTATCAGTAGTATCAGTAGTAACAGTAGTTACAGTAGTATCAGTAGTAACAGTAGTATCAGTAGTAACAGTAGTATCAGTAGTATCAGTAGTAAAAGTAGTAGCAGTAGTATCAGTAGTATCAGTAGTAACAGTAGTATCAGTAGTAACAGTAGTATCAGTAGTAACAGTAGTATCAGTAGTATCAGTAGTAAAAGTAGTAGCAGTAGTATCAGTAGTAACAGTAGTAAAAGTAGTATCAGTAGTAACAGTAGTATGAGCAGTAGGTAATGAGTAATAAAGCAGTAGTGCTGGTTCTAACACAAAGTCTGTAGATCTCAGCAGACCTCAGCAGACCTCAGTAGACCTCAACAGACCTCAGCAGACCTCAGCAGACCTCAGCAGACCTCAGTAGACCTCAGTAGACCTCAGCAGACCTCAGTAGACCTCAGCAGACCTCAGCAGACCTCAGTAGACCTCAGCAAGCCTCTATAGACTTCTTCAGACCTCAGCAGACCTCAGCAGACCTCAGCAGACCTCAGTAGACCTCAGCAAGCCTCTATAGACTTCTTCAGACCTCAGTAGACCTAAGCAGACCTCAGTAGACCTTAGTAGACCTAAGCAGACCTCAACAGACCTCAGCAGACCTCAGCAGACCTCAGTAGACCTCAGTAGACCTCAGCAGACCTCAGCAGACCTCAGCAGACCTCAGCAGACCCTCAGCAGACCTAAGCAGACCTAAGCAGACCTAAGCAGACCTCAGCAGACCTCAGCAGACCTCAGCAGACCTCAGCAGACCTAAGCAGACCTCAGCAGACCTCAGTAGACCTCAGCAGACCCTCAGTAGACCTCAGCAGACCTCTTCAGACCTCAGCAGACCCTCAGCAGACCTCAGCAGACCTCAGTAGACCTCAGCAGACCTCAGTAGACCTCAGCAGACCTCAGCAGACCTCAGCAGACCTCAGCAGACCCTCAGCAGACCTCAGCAGACCTCAGTAGACCTCAGCAGACCTAAGCAGACCTCAGTAGACCTTAGCAGACCTAAGCAGACCTCAGCAGACCTCAGTAGACCTCAGCAGACCCTCTTCAGACCTCAGCAGACCTCAGCAGACCTAAGCAGACCCTCAGCAGACCTCAGTAGACCTCAGCAGACCTCAGCAGACCTCAGCAGACCCTCAGCAGACCTCAGCAGACCTCAGCAGACCTCAGCAGACCCTCAGCAGACCTCAGCAGACCTCAGTAGACCTCAGCAGACCTAAGCAGACCTCAGTAGACCTCAGCAGACCTCAGCAGACCCTCAGCAGACCTAAGCAGACCTCAGTAGACCTCAGCAGACCTAAGCAGACCTCAGCAGACCTAAGCAGACCTCAGCAGACCCTCAGCAGACCTAAGCAGACCTCAGCAGACCTAAGCAGACCTCAGCAGACCTTAGTAGACCTAAGCAGACCTCAGCAGACCTTAGTAGACCTAAGCAGACCTCAGCAGACCTCAGCAGACCTCAGCAGACCTCAGCAGACCTCAGCAGACCTCAGTGGACCTCCCTACGCAGTGCTCCGTCCGCTGCTACATGACATCACTTCCAGAAAACTTAACGCAGCCGTGGAGCCAGCGCCGCTCCACCGGGACCCACCGTCACATCCACGATACTGCTGATTCCAGAGCAGATGATATTGCTGATTCCAGAGCAGATGATACTGCTGATTCCAGAGCAGATGATATTGCTGATTCCAGAGCAGATGATACTGCTGATTCCAGAGCAGATGATATTGCTGATTCTAGAGCAGATGATACTGCTGATTCCAGAGCAGATGATACTGCTGATTCCAGAGCAGATGATATTGCTGATTCTAGAGCAGATGATACTGCTGATTCCAGAGCAGATGATATTGCTGATTCTAGAGCAGATGATACTGCTGATTCCAGAGCACATGATATTGCTGATTCTAGAGCAGATGATACTGCTGATTCCAGAGCAGATGATTAGAAAAGCAGAACATGGAGGTTGCAGCGCTAGCACGTTGTTACTACAGACTGCAGGACGTAGTAACAGACGCCGGTGAATGGGAGAAGGGCACGGGAGCAGAGCCATCCAACACCCGGAGAAACGAGCTCACCTGCGGCTGTGGAGAGGGAAGAGGGCCGTGCTGGGCCCCGCTGGTCCGTGCTGGTCCGTGCTGGTCCGCGCTAGTGCTGGTGCTAGTCCGTGCTGGTATTGTGTGTATTAAAGCGTGCGCTGTGGACGAAGAGACGAAGCCAATGAAGAGGAGGAGGAGGGAGGAAGAGGAGGGAGGAAGAGGAGGGAGGAAGAGGAGGGAGGAAGAGGAGGGGGAGGAGTGAGGGAGGAGGAGGAGCTACTACCTGCAGCGGTGCGCGCGACCGGGAGTGTGTGCGCGTGCACGTGGGGGAGGGAAGGACAGAGTCACGTGCTTTTGCGTCTGTGTACGTCTGTGTACGTGTGTGTACGTGTGTGTACGTGTGTGTATGTCTCTGCTCTGCGTGTGTGTCTGCTCTGTGTGTGTGTGTGTGTCTCTCTGCTGTGTGTGTGTGTCTCTGCTCTGCGTGTGTCTCTTCTGTGTGTGTGTGTCTCTGCTCTGCGTGTGTGTGTGTGTGTGTCTCTCTGCTGTGTGTGTGTGTCTCTGCTGTGTGTGTGTGTGTGTCTCTGCTGTGTGCGTGTGTCTACTCTGTGTGTGTGTGTCTCTGCTGTATGTTTGTGTCTCTGCTGTGTGTGTGTGTGTGTCTACTCTATGTGTGTGTGTCTCTGCTGTGTGTGTGTGTCTCTGCTCTGCGTGTGTCTCTGCTGTGTGTGTGTGTCTCTGCTGTGTGTGTGTGTCTCTGCTCTGTGTGTGTGTCTACTCTGTGTGTGTGTGTTTGTGTGTGTGTGTCTCTGCTCTGTGTGTGTGTCTACTCTGTGTGTCTCTGCTCTGTGTGTGTATATTTGTGAAGGTGTGTCTCTGCTCTGTGTGTGTGTGTGTCTCTACTCTGTGTGTGTGTGTGTGTCTCTCTGCTCTGTGTGTGTGTGTGTGTGTGTCTACTCTGTGTGTGTGTGTGTCATGTCATCGTTTCGCAGAGTGTGAAACGTCTGGTTGTGTTTTATTCATGTTGTGACAAAGTATTTTGCGGCAGTTAGACATCAGTTAAAATCAGTTAGAGATCAGTTAGACATCAGTTAAAATCAGTTAGAGTTCAGTTAGGGAGCCATTAGAGATCAGTTAAAATCAGTTAGAGATCCGTTAGAGATCAGTTAGACATCAGTTAAAATCAGTTAGAGTTCAGTTAGGGATCCATCAGTTAAAATAAGTTAAAGATCAATTAGAGATCAGTTAGACATCCGTTAGAGATCAGTTAGACATCAGTTAGACATCAGTTAAATCAGTTAGAGATCAATTAGGGATCAGTTAGAAATCAGTTAGAAATCAGTTAGAGAGCCGTTAGAGATCAGTTAAAATCAGTTCGAGATCAGTTAGACATCAGTTCAAATCAGTTAGAGATCAGTTAAAATCAGTTCGAGATTGTTAGACATCAGTTCAAATCAGTTAGAGATCAATTAGAGATCCGTTAGAGATCAGTTAAAATCAGTTAGAGATCAGTTAAAATCAGTTAGAGATCAATTAGAGATCAGTTAAAATCAGTTAGAGATCAATTAGAGATCCGTTAGAGATCAGTTAAAATCAGTTAGAGATCAGGTGTCTTGCCCAAGGACACAACAACAGCTCATCACAGTCAACACAACAACTTTTACTTTAGGATAATATCTACAACACTGAGGGGAGAGCTAACAGCAGGAGAGAGAGCTAACAGCAGAGCTAGCCCCCCCTGAGGGTCCTGTGTGGAGGTGGGGGGTCCCGTGTGGGGGGGGGGGGGGGGGGGGGTCCCACAGTTCTTATTGCTCGCTTTGAGTCCATGAATGTAAACTTTTATCTTCATCTCTTTGCTCCGAGTGAAAGAAACTGTCATTTCACTAAAAACCTCCTTTTCTGTAAAATTATTGATTAAAATGTATTTAAGTCAGGATTAAATATTATTAAAATTAAAATTATCTATAACCCTGATTCAGCTGTGGACCTCTGTGGACCCCCCCTCTCCCCCTCCCTCTCTCCCCTCCTCTCTCCCTCCCCCCTACACTCCCTCTCTCCCCTCTCTCCCCCCTACACTCCCTCTCTCCCCTCTCTCCCCC